AATTGTTTTTTACGTTTTTAGTTTTATGGAACTGCGGTTTTCCGATTTTTGTTCGTTCGACTTCATCTCTTGTATGAGTTGGGACTTTTTAGGCCGGCAAACCAGAATCCTTTGGCAAAATCTTGCTTTAAGTAAATGGGCATAACTCCAATTGCTACACGCGAAGGCGTATGGACCGATTGGGATATTCCACCAGAATGAAGGTGGTTTGCAATCGATCCATAGTTGCTTGAATTATCGACTCTGCTGGGTGATTATGCCGACCGAATATTGGACGTAGCGCACTGTTATTTTGGTGATAAATTTTCACGATTTGCAAATGTTCCTCAGGAGTAAGTCTGTTCATTATGAAGTGGCAAACCAAAGTGAGTAAAAATCATTTAACAGTTGCCAACTCCGAGCACAGTTTTGCCTCATTGCAAACCACACGTCGAAAAGAACACCCTTTAAAATTTTCTTCTATACATTTATTTGATTAGCAACAGGCGTTGAATGTTGGCTCATTTGCATATTTTTAATTTTTTTTTTTGATTATTTTTTACATTTAATAATATGTACACATGTAAGTTCGGTTACTTTCCTCTCTCCCCCAATTGAAGTTAAATTGTGTTAATTAAGTGAACGCACGCAAATAAATTGATGAATCACGTTTCAATCGCATACAATGTGTGTGAAAGAAATGTGAATTGTAAGTCAGCGAGTAAAGAAGAAGAAGAAGATGTTTCTATATCTTTAAATGAATTTCCCAACAAATATGTATGTATGTATATGTAAATTTTTTTCACGCTATAAAATTCGCCAGTCTGTGAACCCAGTATATCGAAGCTTTTTCTCAACTGCCGTGAGCAGAGATTACGTGATTATCTCCGAAACAATAATAGCAATCCAGTCGTGACTTCATTTTGCCATTAGGCGCCATTTGAATACACACTGTGAAGCTAGATTCTTATCCAGCTGATGTTTTCTTTTCTCCTTCTTCTCTATATATATTAAACAATTAGTGCTTTGTAACCGCTGAAGCGATTTTCGATCGATCCTCCTCCAATGTGGAGTTTTCCATCTTGATATTTTCCAAATGAATAAATAGAAATACGCTCGATGGGCTTGACATCCCCTATCGAGGGGCACACGCAACTAGCAAAATATTTTCTCTACAATTTTGGATATTTGGTAAAATCAATGCTCGAATCTTGGTGTTCCTCCTTATCTTTTACTCCGATTAAAGAAAGGAGCAAGGAAAAGATGATTCCTTTTGATTTGTATACCCTCCCTACTGTAGGAGCCGGTGAGGCTAATAGCAGATATACGTGTGCACGTACCTTAAGAGTTTAGGCTTAAGTTATCGTTTGTAAGAATAGTAATAACATGGCAACCCTAGTTTTAAGATATAGCAGCGAGTAGACTCGTTGCATAACACTCTCAGCGATCACCATTTTATTTCAGCCACCGAGAAGAGAAGACGTGTTTATTTAAAAGTACTCTCTTCCTTCACTACAAAGGAAGAGACTTAATGCAGTTAAAGGCGCTTCTAAGCTGCAAATGAATTTTTATAAAAAAGCTTTGTTTATCACTAGAAATAACTGCGCTCGGCGGGGTCGATATTTGCTACAGAGCGGCCCCATCTCAAAAAAAAAACGTTCTATAATTTTTAATGTTGATCTGAATGTGAAATGAACATTAGGCCCTCCGCTTAGCAGCATGCACTATTTACTAAGCGGTTACTGTAGGCTTTTCCTACTAAAAAAATCCTTCAAGAGGTTAGGTATAATTCCATTCATTGCATCTGAAGATCTTAAGGTTGAAAAAAGTTTGCAAATCGTTCAACTTTCAATTTCTCATTCAATGAGTATGTAAACATGCAAAATTGTCGTAAGAGCGAGTTGCAATGGCAACGTGACGAGATTCAAGTGTTGCCATTTCATATAGAAAAATCAACGGTTTCGTGTGGTTTATGAGATGATGGAATCATCGGGTCATATTTCTTCAAAAATGAGGCCGGTGGGAGCATGATAACCCATTCTTAGACGCCTTAAATTGAAGCTCGTGATTTCGGCGAAATTCGATTTCAACACGACGGCGCCACTTCTCACACATCGGATCAATCAGTAATAAATCCATTGAGAGAATATTTCGGTGAGAGAATACTTCGGTGAGCAGATAATTACACGTTTTTGGCCGATCGTTTGGCCACCAAGATAGTGCGATATCAAAGCGTTAGACTCTTTCCTGTAGGGCTGTGGGGGTATGTAAAATCTAAAGTCTATGCGAACAATTCCGCTTCATTTCAAGCCTTGGAGCAAAACATCACGCGTGTCATTCGCCAGTTATCAGTCGAATTGCTCGAACGAGTCATTGAAAACTAGACTCAACGGATGGACCATCTGAGACCTAGCGACGGCCAACATTTGAAAGAGAAATTTTTCAAAAAATAAATGCCAAAAAATGTTCTTTCGAAAAATAATAAACATTCCCCATTAAATTGGAGTTTTCTGTGTTTTTTTTCTTGGAAAAGTATGGAACCTGTAAATGGATCATGTATTGTATATTGACTTTGATTCAGGAAATAAGGATTAAGAAATTATCTGTATATCTCTGAGTGGTAATCCTTAGCAGAGCAACTAATGTTCACGTCCCTCAAGTTTACATATTATTTTTCTTCGTTCAACTCAGAGTCTGGCTCCGTCGCTTCAAAATTTCTCTGGGTATCTCCTATACGCTCCCTGGTAAGTAAGCAGTGGAGAGAGCATGAAGTACGAGTCAAACCGTTGCATCAAATAGACTACAAATCTTTGGTGATATTCTTGCGACAAGGACAAAACTCTCGAACGATGGCTAGGCTCATACTTTCTTTACCTATTAACTTTAAAGCGTTGTTAAAAATCTCATTCTTTCAGTAGAGAGACGGTAGGATTCACCAGTTCTTTTTAGATTGTTCAACTTGAAATAAAGCATCATCACATTGTGCCACAATTTTTCACTTTTGCGCTCGTTAGAAGGTCAGAAAATATCGTCGTACGGACCAAAAGTTTCCGGTTTTAGCCAACAGATAGGACTTCTTTTTAAGAAAACCGCACCAAAACAAGCTTATAACGCAGCAGGCAAAGTACGATAAAATCAGCGTGAGGTCTATGAGCACAAAAGAGAAGTTACACTTGGATGACTTGGGTTTGGTTTTGTTATGTTGAACTGCCTAACCCATCGATACTCACATAGACAATACTACTTCCATAGTGTTCCCAGATACACCTCATATTACCAAGTTTTACTGCTACACTCTTTATTGTGTCTGTAATTTAAAGAACATTGCTTTTCTCCACGCAAACCAGAATAGTCGTTTTGGTCCCTCTTCCTTTACTGACCGAAGGTCTTGCAGCTTTTCTGCGCAAAGTAAACATATACCTTTGTGTTCCGAATGCTGCACACGCACAGATTACATGCTCCACAGTCTCCCCATATTTTCTCTACATTTTCTGCATCTTTTGTCCTCTACCAAGTCGAGATACAAGACATGCCAACAGCCTGGAGCCTAGTCTCTTTTGCGTATAGCTTTCACGCTCCAAAGTCTGCTCGCCTAACGATGCAAGATTATTTCTAGCGCTTACTTCACTTTCTTGAGTGGAGCTGGTCTGTTCTGAAAGGATCTCAGTGCATTCGATGCCCATATGACCATGTAACCAATAAATATGAATCTCCTTTTTAGACAGTCTTTTCACCATCTCTTTTCATAGTACAGCGGCAGCCAACTTGGTGCTGTGTGGAAGTCAGGACTACGCCTACTCCTTCCCTATTCGGGGAGAAGAGACGGAAAGCGGGTCCATCGGTAACAATGAAGATATCCATACGTATACTGAAGGGTCTAGATATAAGGCAAGCGCAGAAGCAGGGTTCTTCTGTAACCACGCCTATAACAAGGGTAACTTTAACCTCAGTGATTAGAAAGAACTCTGTATTCCAAGCAGAGGTTGTGGGCTTTTATGAAGGTAGGTTTCTGGTAGCCAATCATGTGACAATTACGGTTATTAAAGGAGGCAACATAAAGTCTTAATGCGTAAGAACAGACAAAGGGGCAACCGACAGTGATTCGCGGCGAAAACACATTGAATATCACTTGGATCCCAAGTCACACGGATGCAGAAGGCAATGCAATGATGGACGTACTTGCTTGCGCTAGCGTCGCTGGCGAGACTGGCTAGCCTGCCACCAACAACTGCCTCACACCCTTCAGAGCCTTGAAATGTTGTTTCTAAAGTAGAACAGAGAGGAAGACTTAAAGTGTTGGAACTGTTCTAAAGTAGGATGTGCCATGAAATTCTTGCGGAGCAGCGTGAGCTCTGCAAAAGAGAACTTAGCATTCTAATGGGTGTATTAAGGCGACATCTACCGCTGAGATATCATCTCCATAAGCTAGGTATGGTGTCGATATGTGCATAGCAAGTGTCCAGCCTTGAGACGATTGAGACGTTACATCTACCATGTTGCCGGCAGCTCTAACTTCACAATTCGCTAAATCGAACAAAATTTTCTCCAAAACTTAGTTGGGATACACGATGCCAACTAAAACCTGCATGCTTCAATAGCTCTGCCACCTTTTTTATTACACAAATTTGGCAGACTTGGGTCACATTTGAAGAGAGAGAAAGGAAAAAGAGAATAATAGTATATCGTTGGCGAGATCTCAGTGAGCCTAAAGTTCAATGCCGTACTTATATTTAACATACATACAAATTTTCAGGGCGCTTAATCGAAATTAAAATTGAAGAACATCAATCATAACCTCACTTAATTGTCAGACTTAATTGAAGATCTATCAATTAAAGGCTTTAATTTTTTCCCAACAACACCAAACATTATTGCAATTATATTTTCAACACTTCTGATATAACAACCCCCGTCCCACGAATATATACTTATAAAAATTATTATTATTATCTCTTTGCGCTCAACATTGTTTCATTATATAATTTTGTATGTATATTTTTGCATCTTTTTTTCCATTCCAGCAATTGCGGCTTTCGTCCGGTACTCAACGACAACTCCGGCAGCGTGGTCGCTTCTGGTGCTGGCGCACAACGCAACACCGCCGCCACCAGCCATCCACCACTCTTTCTGCCACCACATTTGGCTACGCTCAGCTCACAGTTTACACATCAACCACTCTTCCCCGGACTAAAAGGTAAATGCGATTATTTTATATATGTATTGCATGTAATGTGTGCGTGTGAGTGCGAGTGCGCGATTCGGAGGACTCGAAGTTTGTATGGAAAATATTGTTGCATAAAATATTTATTTACTTACCCACACCCGAGCTCGGCCACACACCAGCGGATTCTTCGTCTGCGTATTATAAATCAAATACGCGCATTAATAAATAATTTTCCCTCCTCCCGCTTGATGTTGAGTGCCGGTAGTGCGCTTTATGTCGTTTGCGTTCGAACTTATCGATTGTTGTTGTAATATAATTATATAATGATGGTTGGATGCAGATACCGTTGTGCCTTGTTTTCATCGTCGTCACTGTTATTGCCTGTCGCGCTCTTCGTTTTCAATCTTCGGCGCTGTCAATCAGCGCTTCTGCCTCTTTAATGGTTTGCTGAGACTCAGTCTTCCCCTTTCGACTTGTATATTCCTTCATATCTTATCATGTCTGTCGTCTTGTCAGAGCTTAATAACTGCAGCGGGTGTAGTGAGGAGCTGTTCTTAATAGAATTTAATATAACTGTAAATTGACGCCACCGATTTAGCTCTGCAGTTGTTCATACAAAGCAGAAGTTTCGCAGATGAAGAAGCTTGTGTAGTTCTCAGTTTTAAGTTGGAGCTGAGGATCTGCGTCCAGCTATTGTTAGGACACTGGTTGACTCCTTAACTGCATACAGTTGAGGGCTCGTACTCTATATAAAAAGCCCTACATATAGCCGCACTTTGTTTTCTCTCGTCCAGATGCCTAAGAAGCTGGAGCCTGGCTCTAAGAATAATATGCTGGTCGAGGAATAATATGTTCCTGCTGGTCTTCCTAAAGTCAACTCCTCTACGAGTGCTTCTACATCGGGAATTAGGAGGTTCCTGGAGCCGGAACAGCATAAGTCACTGCCTTAGTTAGCACTACATATATTTTCTTGAGATTTATACTTATGCTTTTGGAAATTCAATGATTTAGACCTCAAAACTTGAGCTGAGGCTCGCGTAGCCGCTATTGCTTAGACCGTTTATATTCTTACGCCCCCCTCCATTCATCTTCGATTTAAAAAGAAAGTATTTTTTTAACTTCTTTTTCTTTTCAACAATTTTCAGGCGTCTCACCCTTTCCGGGTCTCTGCTCGTGCTGTTCCCTGAAACCACCACCGCCACCGCCAACCGCCTCATCTTTAGCCGCTGCAGCCGCCGCAGCAGCTGTTGCTGCTTCTTCTTCGAGCAACTCCGTCACCGGTGTGGCTTCCAACGTACCCATTACATCCGCTGCACCATCCGCGAGCAGCTCACCGGACTCTCCCGTCAATTCTTTACCACTCATTAACCACTCAACGCATAACAATCATCACGATGCACGCTCCAGTTCGGTAGCTGAGTTACGTCGTAAGGCACAAGAGCATTCGGCAGCACTGCTACAATCGCTTCATGCAGCCGCTGCTGCAGGTCTTGCCTTCCCTGGCCTACACTTGCCACCGCTGTCGTTTCATCATCATTCGGCTGCTGCTTTGAGTAATGCACACGCTGCTGCTGCAGCCGCAGCCGCTGCAAATAATAATAATAATCACAGTAATAACAATAACAACAGCAGCAGCAATAACAACAACAATAATAACGGTGTGCGTCTGAAAAGCGAATCGGCTCAAGATATGACAGCCAGCACCATGAACGGCCTATCGGCTGCAGCAGCAGCGGCGGCGGCAGCAGCGGCTGCTAATAATCATCACAGCATTGCCAGTTTGACTTTGCTCGATGCTCAAACGGCTGCATATCATCATCATCAACATCAGCAGCAGCAGCAACAACAACAACAACAGCAGCAACAGCAATTGTCCCAAGCGGCCGCACTGCATCTGCAGCAACAGCAGAATCAACTATCGCCACCCATCACGCCGACACACACGCCCACCATCCATCGGCAGGACACACCGCCCAAGTGCGGTAGTGCTGGTGGCGCTGCAGCTACAATGCCGGGCGGTATCGTTACAAAAAGTGAATAATAGGAGTCCGAGTAAGCAATTCGTGGCTCGGAAAAGAGTTTGTGAAAAATGGAAATAAAAAAAACCATTAAAAAATATTTTATATTTTTAAACTTTTTGCCGATTTTTTTAAAAAAGGCAAGAAAAGATAAGAATTACTTATTACTGTAAATATTTAAATACATATATGTATATGTATGTATATACATTTATAAAAAATAATTAAAAATTAATTAGTAGTTTATATGAATAACATACATATGTACATATATATTCGTTTAGATTTAAAGCTTTATTCCGATGACTCCACCAGAATTGCTTTGCCTCAGTATTATGGCTGATGCTGCGCCTAAAGGTATACTATAAATATGTTCCAACGCTAGTACGAAGTTTAATATTAGGTGTAGCAAACAGAAATCCATGATTTTTCCAATAGATGTCTGCATTTATCTGTATCTTGTGTTGCATAAGTCCGATCGGGCTAGCGGAACGTTAGAAAGAAGCTTTTTGGACAGTTTTGTGATTGGTTGATTCAGTTTTGACAGCGCGTGCGTCAATTAGAAAAGATATTTTACAGTTTCTCTTCGATAAGGGCGAAAACGCAAGTCATGCAGTCGAAAATGTGAATAGTTTTTCTTTGGTCCTCTTACTGCAATAACCGACTGTGCACATTTTCGGTTTCGTCGATTTCCTTCCGATAATTTTAATGTAAAAGATGATCCACGGTGTGGAGGGTCCACAGCCAAATATGTCGATAAAGTCTGATCATCATGCGAGCCTTGTTTCGACTTCCCAGGAGCTAAATATCACAGATACAACAGTTTGGATACGCAAATAACGACGTCGTATAGATGCCACAGTAGTTAACGAGAGAAAACCTCATGGACCGAACTTACATCTGCGAATCGCTGCTGTATCGTAACAAAATATACCCAGCTCTTAAGCGAATGGTGATTGGTGATGAAAAGTAGCTAACTTACAGTAGCGTCAATTTAAAACGGTCGTCTTATAAGCCAGCGCACAAACGGTCTTCAAGCCAGTACTGACGGCAAGGACGGCGTTGTGTGTTTGAGCCACTATAACCTACTCCGTTATGGCGAAACTTTTAATTTGGACTTGTGCAGTCAGCAATTGGGTCATCTGAAAAACTTAATTGCCCATAAGGCAACGCCACACCACATACATCGATAGGGACTCGCTAGCGGCTCCGGAAACTTGGTAGGGAGGTGCTTATGCATCCCTCTTACAATCTAGACCTTGCATCAACTGATTACAATCTGTTTTTTCCGCGGAAATCATTCGTGGGTAGGGAATTTTTGAAGGTATCGAATGAAGCCTGAATGAAGGTTCAGCTTCAATGCGATGCGTATTGGGGTGTTCCCTACGGTAGCATTCCAAAAGCAGTTGCCTGCACATCAAAGCATTATGCTCCTAAATCGTAGCATAGATGCTTCACTGTGCAAGTGATCCTCAGGCGACATCAGGAGTTTGCCTGTCGTGGTCCTGAGGAAGGTGTTCTGGCAAGCCTGTAACTTCTTCATCTGCAGGTGCTGCCGGCTAGCGCTTTGAGTATTTTGTTGCGGCTCCGGAGTTTTGTGGCAATTGCGGCTCTATGCGGAGGGAAGGAGTGCAGGCTATCTTATGTCACTCCCAATATCTTTGGGTTGTTTACAGTCGTTTTTCGCCATCGACCTTCACATCTAGTTCAAGCCTGTATTCTTTCATCCAGTTGGTGAAGTGATTAGCCGAGAATTTGGTTGGTTGTGTTTTCAGTTGTCGTGCAGTGAAGAAGTGAGAAGTATCAGCAAGGTACCAGTTCACTTTCGAACAGAGGTCATCAATACCATGGCCAATCCTCTTTCTTCCTGTTTTCTCCTTCCGTCTGACTCTTTTCCTGTGGAATAGCAGGTACAATTTTAGATCGGGTGATGTACACTGACATCATTACTTATGCTGCTGATTTTTGTTGCTTAGATTTCACGTGTGGGTTTGCTCCTTTTGGACGCCATATCATGGACTGCTGTTGGATCGTACTTATAGAACCATGAATTTCGAATTTGTTTAGGAAAAACTCAGCAAAATGCACTTGAGCCTCTATTGGGGCTTCATTTAAAATTCATGATACCCATCGATAAGATTTCTTCGTGTATCCCAAATGATAACTTAATATTCGCGATACAGCCAAGCTATCCGAGCCCAATTCATTAGCAATTATTTCTTGTGGCAATTGTGGATCTTCGTTAATTTTAGACTTCAACAGAGCTACAATGACGTCATCAATGGAAGATTTTGGTCAACGTTCTTGGGTATAGTTCTCTACAGAAAAATTTCCTATCTGGAAAAACCACTGAGAAATAGTCTTTAAGGGCGTTGCAATCTTTCTATAGGCAATTTGGCATTTACTGAATATTTTTATTGGCTGTAAATTACGTCGAAACCCGAAAAGAATCACATGGTGAATTTCTCTTTGCGTAGGTGGTGTAATTTCAATTGACTAATTCTCAGCTATCTTCCTTTTTCTTATCTTCATTTTCGCCAAACGTTCTAAAATTTGTAAAGAAGACGAATAAAGTAATTGCAAAGGATTTGCTTTTTTTTTTAATTTCGTTTCCTGGCACTGAACTAGAGACCTGGAACCAAGTTCGGTTTGTGGGCGGGTCTGCTAGTATTATATAAATATATACATATAAAAGATATATAGAGCTCGCATATAAATGAATTTCTGCTACATATATATATATATATTTAGTATTATACCCGATCAAAACCGCACCATTAATTATTATTATTTTTTATTTTCATTGCTTACCCAGCAAGCTATTTTTTGTTATTTAATATTTTAATTTTAATTGTAATTTTAATTTTAATTTTAATTTTAATTTTAATTTTAATTTTAATTTTAATTTTAATTTTAATTTTTATTTTAATTTTAATTTTAATTTTAATTTTAATTTTAATTTTAATTTTAATTTTTTTGCTTTTCTTTTTTTTTCGCACACCTGTCTTTGTCATAAAGCAAAATTATTTATTTACATATAAATAGCTTTTACATACACACATATTTAAGGGGTAAAAAACAATAATTTTACTTGCCTAACGTTCACACGTAGCGAAAGCAGCAAACAATAACGGCAATAAAGCGCTAAAGATGCATATTTTTATAGAATCAAAACACGATTTTCGCACAAAGCCAACAATGAGATGCATGTAAATGAATAACTAAATACAATAGAATATATGTATATATATATGTATATATATATATATATATATATATATATATATATAAAAATGGCAAAAAGAATTTTTTGTAACGGTGGAGGAAGCGTCATAGGGTGGGAGAAACAATAAAAAATGATTTAATTTGAATAATTAGTATATATGTATGTACATAGGAGTACAGTACGCAAAATTGCACTGAGCAGTACTTTAAAATTGAATAATTATAAATAAAGTATAAAATAAAACAAATTATATGAATTAATTATATATTATATATATATATATATATATATATATATGGTGTATATAAGACCATATGAGTATAAAGCAAGAAAAATAAACCTTGTATACATATATACATTAATTATAAAAAAAAATTATGTACTTTTTTAAATTATATTAAGAAAAAATATTAATTTAATTGCGTTGTAAGAAAAAGAAAAAATAATTCAATTCAAAAAATTAAATTAAATAACTAAAATATATACAAGGATTAAAAAATAATTATGAATATAAAATTATACTAAATTAAATGATTTAATTATCCCCTTCGATTTGCTTAAATTTATAATTTATTAGCTTAAGAATCAAAATGATAACACCAGCTTATCCAGTTAAATATAATAAACACTTAACAACAACAATTAAGGTAAATATTGCATAATAAGCACAATTAATTAAGCAATAGTCATAAAAAATAACAACAAAAAAACATAAATAAATGAATAAAAACTAAAAAAAAATAATAATAAATATAAAAAGATACAAAAACAATTTATACACAAGCTTTGACAAAGATCAAGCGCTTATCAGCTCTTCAAACATCAGACAAAAAACAAAAATAAATAACTCAAATAATAAAAAGCAAATAATACATACATACAATTCGGATGTTTGTCGCTAGTAATTAAATACACACAGACATACATATGTATAAGCGTATCAAAAAATAAGTAGTAAATAAAATATTGAATGATTAAGAAAAATATAGCCTTCGAACTTTCATTATATAAAATAATATATATATTTAAAAAATAAAATAAACGTATATATATAAAATAAGAAATATAAAAGCACACACACACAAAATTACACAGATATATGCGAATGCAGATATGTTCATATTATTAAATTATATTATTAGAAACAGCAAAATAAACACAAATGAAAAGTTGAAATGCAAAATTTGTCTTTCATTTTCCTACTGCAAGTGGTTATTAGGCAGAAATTAAGGATTTTTGATGATTTTTAAACTACTGAAACGGCCTTTGGATATACATATATTTGATGGCATTATAAACGGAAACTACTTAAAAACTGATTTATAATATTTTTTTTTTTTTTTTTTTTTGAAATAGATTTTTTTGACCTCCTGAGGTAATACCTTACGTATGACTTTATTATATATTCTATATTTTTATGTTTTTTTTACTTTTTTAAAGAAAAAAAGAACGCAGATAATTCCAATTTAATGCAGAATCCTTATTATCATTCGAAATAATGGCATTTAGTTTTTGAAAATTTTCTCTTTCAACTGTTGGCCGTAGCTAGGTCTCAGATGGTCCATCCGTTGAGTCTAGTTTTCAATGACTCGTTCGAGCAATTCGACTGGTAACTGGCGAATGACAAGCGTGATGTTTTGCTCTAAGGCTTGAAATGAAGCGGAATTGTTCGCATAGACTTTAGACTTTACATATTCCCACCGCCCCACAGGAAAGAGTCTAACGCTGCGATATCACGCTATCTTGGTGGCCAATCGACCGACCATAATGCGAAAATATGTGCTCAGCGAAGTATTCTCTCAATAAATCCATTGAATTATGCGATGTGTGGGAAGTTGAAATCAATGCCTCCGAAATCAAGAGATTCAGTTTCAGGCATCAAATAGTGGGTTATCATGACGCGATAACGGTCGCCATTGACGGTTACGTTCTCAACGGCATCAGTTTTGAAGAAATATAGACCGATGACTCCACAGCTCCACAAACCGTACCAAAACCATTATTTTTTCTGAATGAAATGTCAGGTCTTGAATCTCTTCAGGTTGCTCTTAGCCCACAGGCGCCAATTCGGCTTGTTTACATACCCATGGCGCCAGAAATGGGGCTCATCGGTAAACAAAATTTGGCTCAAACTTTTCAAGCGCTCATAGTGGGTAGCTTCCCACTCGTACTGTCGTATGGGAAGATAGATTGGCTGCAGTTCTCGCACAAGCTGTATTTTATGTGCCTTCAATTCAAGATCTTGACGTAAAATGTGTCAAGTCGTTCCATACATCAATTCAGCGAACGGCGCCGAGTCGACCGTGGTCTATTCGCTCGAATATTATCCAAAAAAGAATGCTAAGTCTCAAAATGGGTTGCGAATAGTACGCTCTGTAGGACGATTATGTGTACCATAAATCGAGCAAAGCGCGCGGAAGACGTTCTTTAGGTAACGTGAATTTTCGTAATAAAATTTAATGGTGTCAAACTTTGTTCAAAAAGAAGCTAACTGATAGCTTGACCAACTCACGCGTGATCTGTCAATAAAAGGATATTGAAAAAAGTATTTATACTAGGATCACTCTCTACTTGTGATTGAACATACGTAAATTGTCATTTTGCAAATACTACTTCGATCTTTGTTTCCACACCCAACCCAATGGCCGCTTTCTTCATATCTCTTCGAGTTTGGTGGATCATAAGTAACTTTACGGCACTAAGAACTGGAACTGGATGCAAGAAAACCCGGAGATGAAGGTCCCGAATTTCTCTGTTTCTAAAATATGCTGACGAGAGCTTTGCCATCAACTCCCTCGAAAGCACTGCTAACTCTTCTCAACCTCCTTCCTCTGCACCTATGCGGCAAACTACAAGCAGGTTGCAACGCAACAAGATTGAATGCAACTCAACCTTGGAAGAATTGTAGTATAGGACATACATAAATATTATCTCTCCACAAGAATCCCAAACAGATGCGAGTGGGAAAATACCAATGCCCCCGACCAGGAGCAATGGCCATCTTCACAGGCGGCTCAAAACTCGATGGGAGTGTGGGTTGCGGAATGTATTCTCCAGTGCTTTCAATAAGCATGAGCATGAGAATACCAGATCATTGCAGCGTGTTCCATGCATAACTATTCGCAATCATGAAGGCCGCGAAATGGTTGCACAAATCCACGGCAGCTGGGCAATCAGTAACAATCTACTCCGATAGTCAGGCTGCAATTAGATCTCTTCGATATGACGGTACCACGTCAAAAGTGGCAATAAACTGTAGAAATACTCCCAAAAACTCTCAACGAAGCACAGTACTGCCGTGGTCTAGGTACCTGGACACAGGGACATCCCAGGCAATTGAATAGCGGATGAGCTCCCAAGAAAAGGAACCCTTCTATCTACGATAAAACAAGTACATGTTGCTGGTTTACCTCCGTCCACGGCTAAGTACATGCTTAAACTTGCCTTCACCAGGCAGCTATTGCCAAAATTGGACGCAAAAAAATCTAAACATCTTATCCTTCCGGACCGGTTCTCCATTAGCATAGCGGCGGGTGTAATAACTGGACTCTGTTTAATGGTGCCTCACGGGATTAGGATGGGCTTTTACTCTAACGATTCCTGCCGCGGCTGTAGGGACGAAGAAGAGAAGGAGATCATCGAGCACTACCTCTGCCACTGTCTAGCCTTGACATCCGCGCAACACAATTTTCTTTGGAAAGACTTCTTCGACTGTCTCTCTGAGTTGGCCTCAGTGAACATTGGAGATCTTATTGCCTTTGTAAGGTACACGGTATCACAATGGGCCTATTGGACTAAGTGTGCTGGGGTGTGGCCAGCAGCCGCACCAACTCCACTCAACTCCACATTATTTCCACTAGGCCGTCTTCTAGTCTTTGGTAATGTATACAAGTCTACTTTTTCAGCCAGACGATTACGGACAGGAAACCTCTGCATATTCTTCCGCACGCTCTTCAGTGGCGATCCATTCTGACAGTTGAATCTCGACTTGCTCACCTTTCACCGAAAATTTCTAAACCCCCCTTTTCATCATCTGCGCATTCTTTGTCAGAAGACTATTCCCAGTCAAGGGCTCCACAAAACCCTTTGCGTGGATTATTCATATCTACAATACTAATCATTTTGCTACCACCGTGGCCAAAGTTATGGTACAGCTCTCTACGATTAGCTGGAAACGAAAGTAATGGATTTGAAAAGGTCGAAAGAACTACTGATACATTGAGCAAAGACATAATACAGTGAGGATAACAAAAAATCTGTCATCTCGTATCGTTGCGGTGGAACGGTATAGTAAAGATACTGACAGTTGAGAGGGGAAACGAGCCTTATTTTTTGACAGCAGAAGCGAGGGTCTGAAGAACTTACCGTCGGAGGTAGCGAGTGTGAAACCCCTATCAAGGATAATGGAATGTACCTTCCATCACCCGCTTGTGGTGAAGTTCGAATAGATAATGCGTGTTGAAAGAGCAACAAAGCGGCTGAAGCTGACGACTTACCGCCTGAGCTATTCAAGCATGGTGGTGAAGAACTAACAACAAGCTTCATACATCAGTTTCTTTGCAGAATTAGGTCAGACGAAAGCCTGCTTGATGGTTAGAACCATGCCCCAAATCTTACAAAAAACCCAAAGAAGCTCCTATATGCGAAAACACCAAAAGTTAGATCAACCTCTAGAAGTTTTAGGACTAGTTGACTCTTTTTCGTGTGCAAATCTAAATAAAGGCCGGAAACGTTAGTTGTGGTTTCTCCAGATTGGATAACGAGCAAGATGAATGAATCTGGCAGTGAACGTGGTGAAAACAAGATGTATTCCGTCATCAAACAAACAGTCAGCGTAGATGATCGTGGAATAAGCACAAGCCCAAATAGCAACGGCTACCCTGAAATCCAGTACAATATGTACCGAAGAAATAGGGTGACTGAGACTCCTTTGTAAAGATCAAGTTTAGAAAGTTCTTGATGTCTCCAATTAGCGCCGAAAACCTAAGAGAAAAAAATGGATCGACTATGACCAAGTAAGTGGATACTACACATCAATAAAGAAGAAGATAAAGTCAAAAATTTAATACCGAAGCTGCCAATTATTATTATTTTTTTTTTTAATTTTCCGAAATTAATTGAAAACCTGTTTGTGAAAAATATACTAGATTTCATATTCTCAAATAACTTTTGTAAACTTTTTTTTTTAATTTTTCGTTTTCGGAAAATATTTTATCATATACATTTTCAAAACACATCATTATTGCTTGCTTATTTGCCCACAAGCAGCCTGAGATGAGAAACGATTGTTTGTGCCGCCGCAACCGCCATAAATGAAGCTGTCGCCATCGGCTGAGTGTTTTTTTTTTGTATTTTTCACTCCAAATGGCTAATATAAAGAAGATTGAAATTTAACGTTAGATTTATAGAACAAAAAAATAGAGAAGAAATTTTAGCAACATAATTATAACAAAAAAAATTATTGCAAAAGTAGCAAAAATTTATAGCAAAAAAAATTATAGCAAACTAATTATAGTAAAAGAACATAAAACAAAAATCGTACCTCAAATTTTTATAGCAAAATGGTTTCTAAAGATTGCATGGCAAAAGTCATGTTATTAACTTATAGCAGAAATTATGGCAAAAAAACTAGCATAATTATAGCAAAAATTATAGCAAAAACTATTATCAAAGTTATGTAAAAAATTTGTTATTAATATAAAAGAACATCTCTCTCTTGTAGCTTACGATCCTTTAGCGCCAACGAGCATGCAATAAACACCAAAATTGTCAGAACCATAATAAAGGGTGTCAATTTCTTTTTTTAATTTCAGAGTTTCCTAATTTCTTCGGTAAAATTTCAAGATTTCAAGCTTTGACTTTGAAACCCTAACACACGCCTCTTAAATACTCAAAACAACAATTGATGCTTACAGAAATCGAGAAACGCGTTAAGTCTTTTAATTTCCAACGACCACTAATTAATGTATCGACCCTTCGACCCAAAATTGTAATTGATTAACCAATAGTTACTGAAAATAAAACTCTTTCAGGAGCCTTTTCCACTTAGCACGACCGCAAATGTCAAAAATGTCTACACTAGAAACTAATGAGACGCAGCTGCGGAGATTATTGGATGCTGGTAGACTCAACAATCGAGATTGACATGGGTTTCGGGAATTGGGAGAAGAGCTGGCTCAAGTGTATAATCTTTAATGGACTCCAATGTCAATACAAACGAGAAACTGAATATTTTTTCGTAAAATTTAAGTTTTCATATTTTCGAATTTTTTGTTCAGGATTACCACCATGACTCTTCGCATGCTAGCAGGCACTGATTTTCGCCATTTATTTGCCGCTCGGGAAAAAAATAAATATTGATATCAAAATAATTATTTTGTTATACGATTTTTTATTAACGTTTTTAACTTTTTTTTTAATATTCCAATTTTTCTTATATCACATTATTCCAGGCTTTAATCCCTTTATCATACAAATATTTTGTTTTTGTTTTTTTTTCTTTTGTTTCATAAAACACATCACTTATTCCTTGCATTTCTTCTCACAAGCATCCTGTGAGCCAAAACGATTCTTATTGCCGCCACAACCGCCATAGATGAAGCTCAAGCATTCATTTTTGGCACTATCGAATGTCCAGGAGGGCACATAAGCAGCACATTTAATTAAACCATTACCATCGGCTGAGTGCTCCTCACCACAAATGGCTAAAAAAAAAGAAATTTAGAGGAAAGTTTTAATAAGAAATAAGTAAAAGGTTTATAGTGTTAAGAAGTTTAAGATAGGAAAAAAATGTGTAAGAAAATTATAAAAAATATTGAAACGAAAATTTATAGCAAAAATTATGGGGAAAATTATAGCAAAATTTTTAACAGAAATTAAAAGCAAAAATAAAAGAAAACAATAAGATAGTAAAAAAATTATAGCAAAAAATTACTATCGAAATATATGGAAAGTGAACGTGAAATTAAAAAACTTATAAGAAAAATAAAAAAAAAAAAACAAAAAGTTACAGCAAACATATTTTTAAAAATTTTGAAAAAATTTTACCAAAAGAATGTATGGAGTAACAACCCAAACAAATATATAGCATACAAGTTATGAACAAAATTTAAAACAAACGCCTTTCACAAAAATTAATTCAAAAATTTGAAAAAAATTTAATCAAAATTTTATAAGAAAAAAGTATAAAAAAAACAATGCCAAAAATTTTAGCAAAACATTTTACCAAAAACAGCAACAAAAATAAAAAAAGAGTGATAAAATGTTATAACACAATTTAAAACAAAAAATTATTACCAGAATCTATAAATAACAAAAGAAGTATATAAAAAAATGTGTAAAAAAAAATTATACAAAAATAACTTCACAAAACTCTAAAATTATTTTGAACAAAAATTTATAGCAAAACTGTTATCAAAAGTCGCTAAAAAAAATATTTAAGGAAATTTTAACAAAATTCATAGCATTAATTATTGACAAAAAAAAAGCAAAAATTTACACCAAAAGTTATTAGTGAAAATGAATAAAAAAATAGTGTATAGAAAAACATTTTTCACAAAAACTAATATCAGAAATACCAAACATATAAATTAAGTATTTAATTATCTCCACTCACGATCCTTAAGCGCCAACGAGCAGCTAATCAAAGCGAAAATTACCAAAATTGTTGCAAAGAATTTCATGTTGGGCAATTTTTTAAGAATCTAATAAAAATGTTTTTAAGAATTTTAAAACTTTAACTTGTCGGTCTCAAGTTCCGCCGTACACTGAGCTTTTATCGTTAAAGCACGACCCTTCAAGTAGAGTCGAAACTAAAATTAAAAGTTCGGAAAAAATCTTTCTTATGTCTGTATATAAAAGCCTTTGTGCACTTATTTATATGTATGTACATATACATGTATACACATATTCATACATGCATACATACATATATGCAGTAAAACTTTTTGGGCGAGTACCTTGTGAATATTTTGTGTCAATATGCAAGTTCAAGTAGTTGTTTGTACATATATGTATATATATATATACTATATATGTATATGCATGTGTGTATATATTTAAAATTTAAACGAAATAAATACATTAAACAATGTTGTTATTTTTTCACATTGACAAAACTTATTAACTCTTACGCACACACACACAAATGTAGGTAAATATCAACAAATCTTCAAAAATCATTAAATATTTTTTTCAAGTACAAGTAACATATATACATACACATATGTAAATATAATCACTTACCCACATAAATACATACATATTTATACGGTAGTGTAAATATTTTTTCTTCTCAAAGTACTAGTCGCTCTCGCCGATTTATCAATTTGCCGCTTGATGGATGCGAGCTGAAAATGAAATAAACAAAAAATAATTCAGCGAAACGGCGAAAGTTCGGTTTTTTTCGTTACTACGCCAAGAAAACCCCGTGTGCTTGTCTGTCTACGTCACTGTTAAGTCTTAGGTAAATAATATTCTTTATGATTATTAGGGGTGACCAGTTAGAGATGGGCGAAGAGAATTTCCTATAGCGAGTTAATATGTATAGATCTCAAGAGCGGCAATGCGAACCGGCTCTAGTACTCTCTCAGTCCACATGGGCAAACCTGTGTTAACTGACCGTAAAGCCTGTCTTTGCTATGAGTTCTGGAAAAGAAGTTGCTATTAAGGTAACATCTAAAACCTCGGCTGAAGCCTGTTCTCTTTTTCATGCCGTGTGAGATGAGAAACACATCAAGCGCTCTTTTTCAAATGGTATACTTGTTAGCTTCTCTAAGGCACAAATAAACCAGAAATCATCCAATTTTGAATTTGGATGTTTGAAGACTTTTACGATCGACAGAAAAGCGCCCAGCATCAATTGCTATGGTTTTGAAAAACCTGTATTGAAATAGTAAGCGATTATAGAGACATTCCCCATACCGAGACACTCTTCAACTTGAGCGAGTCAGCTCTGCTTCACATCTCCACTTTTTTATTTGCTACCGGCGCAACTTGATTCCCACCGTTGGGTTTATTTATATCTATATTTCAAAGAGCATGGCCAATTTGCTTCCGTCGAAAAGACTAGCACCACCATTATTGAACTGTTGTTGAGACCGGCTACTCGCCGACCCATGATATTGGTAATCTTGGTTCAAAATTGAACAACTATCACACCGACTTTTCTCACTTCTTTACTGCGCTAGAGCTACAACTACAACCAACGAAGTCCTCAGCTACTCACTAGCTAGTCGTAGAAATAACCGCCTCGAACTGATTGTGAAAGTAGATGATGTCAAAGTTCCGACCGTTAATACCCCAAGGTACTGGGGTTCACTTTCAACATTCCTCACTCATCACTCTGCAAAAGATTGCGATTGCTATCAAATTACAAAGCCGAAAAGAATTCCTCAGCACTTGGGAGAAAAGTAAAAAAGTGAAGATCGCAAATTACAAGGCAATCGCCCACTTTGAAGGCCGTAACGGAAAATCTCCTGATATCCTCTATGAACCATTTAAATAGTGAAACATTGATGCCCCCAATATCTTCTAAGGTATTACCGTAAGGAATTGACCCACTAAGTGGACAGCCTTTATAAGTTTTCTTTCCATGAATGGCATGCTTAGAGTCCAAGCACTACTCATAGCAGACTAAGGATTCGAGCTGACTCGCGAGACCTGAGTAATACTAGCACAACTACGATCTGGATACTATAATCACCTAAAACCAACCCCCCTAACTCCGCTCTCTGTCTTGTCCGAACCCGTGTAATCCTTGAATAATACTGATTTTGCCTGCTTCTAGGTGAAACTTGTTTGCCATAACTATAACAAGTACAACTCTCGACTGGATTTAAAGGGTTTCTTCCACACATTGCTCCATTCTTAGCATTCTTGGTGAATTTTATGGAATATAAGAAACGCACAGACCAAAATCAATCTTACTTTCTTTCTTGGTTCTTTCTTGCAAAAGATGGGTTCACTCTTCATAAGTTTTCCATAAGCAAAGTTAATATCAGCTTCATTTACGGAGTTTTCCTTTTGGTGGAATTTACTAAAAAAAGAGTTTACTTTGCTCAGCCGGTGGAATTGGTCCGAATTGCTTAACGAACCACCGAAACTTTGGTACTTAGTTTAATGAGCGTTGTTCGCTGGCCTTTCGTAGAGTCACGGTTAAACTAAAAAGTCCGCGCTCGTAGTCCATTCGGGCAAGGAACACTCTACTATTTCTACTAGGTTTCGGCCTGATACTCAGCTCAGCTGCACAGATCATTGATCTCTACTTCTCTCGCACAATACCTTTACAAAAAGACTGCGGCCGGCGGACAAAGTCACTTGAGGAATGAAACTGTAAGCTTCTTTACGGTTTGATTTTGCTTCAAAGGGGTTTGATGTTGTTAAGGGAAGCCGCTGCATCTATGGCTTTTGAGAACAGTGCAAGAGGTCAATATTTCCTACTGCTGAATTGGGTTTAGTGAGAGCGAGTTCCATTGTACTTTGGACGCACTTTGTTTGCACTTCTACGTGCGAAGTTGCGAGATTCTTCTCACTAATGCTTCACTGCAGAAGTTTAGGAAAGTTCCTAGCCTTTTCCAATTCAAAGCTCTTATACACGATAGTCTGGATGTTGTATAGCTGTATTCGAGATTTTCTGGTGTATAGAAATTAATGGTATCTATGCACGTATCACTTCGAAATATCTGGGTAATGATGTTCTGCGGATTATGGATCCTGTGGAAGGGATGGATGTTTGAAGCTCTCACTATGTAGATTATAAGAATATCTAGAGAACTTCAGCTACAGATCACAGCGCAAAGATTCTGGTATACCAACAACCCACTGATCTCCTTGCCTCCTCTACACGGTGTCAGTTAGTTACATGGAATAAAGCCCGATCCGTTCCAAAAATAATTTTTACATTTATTGCTTTCAAAAAATTTTTTCTTTTATTTTACAAACTAAACACATACATATAAAAACCAAATTCATACGCTTTACAAAGTTTACTTAATAAATTTAATAATCTTTTCTTAATTCTTTTTGTTTTTTTTTTCCTTAAAATCCGCAAGACTATAATACTCATATTTCATAAAGCTTCACTTTTTCATCTAAGGTAAAAGACCTCAATCCTCTGCAACTGGTTTTGCCTCAACTACAGGCACCACAGGTGCGGCCTCATCGCCCTCCTTAGCTAAGGTGGAGCTCTCCTCACCCTCCTCCGCCTCCTTGGGTGCTTCGTCTTTTTTGGCAGCCAAACATTTGGCTTCGCAGTCCTCCTTGCTCTCGAAATTATTCTTATTGCCGTTGCAGCCACCATAAACGAACTCCTCGCACTGACGGTTCTCTACATTGTAGGCGTAACGGTAGAAAAGGCCAAAACAGCGACCGGTCTCCTTGGGTTGATGGCATTCTGTGCGTTTTGAGGGTGAGGAAGAGAAAAATTAGTAAAAAATATATAAAATTTAATTTCACAAATTTACGACTACAAACCTTCCACGACATCCGAGGCCTCGGTTGGCGCCACAGTTGTTGAGGCATCAGCTGCCTCGGCGGCCTTAGGTTGTGCGGTGGTGCTGTCCACAGCTGCAGCTTGCAGTGTTGCAATAAAGCAGGCGGCAAAACAGAGAGTTAGCAAAAATTTCATCTTATTTAGGTTTTTGGTAGATTTTATTTATTGAAAAATTAAATTGAAAATTATTTGAAGTCTGCTTGCGCTGCCGGTTGTGCACACTTAAAGTTTCAATGGCGTTATGATGTCGCTGAACGCCTTCAAAGCGTTTTAAGTAGTTCCTCGTCGAGCGATATCGGACAGTGTTGGTTACCTCGGTTCACCGCGCCAACACCGCAGCCACCTACACTGCCGATATGTAAATAAAGCATGACTTATACGCGATCCCTTTCTCTGTTTAGTTGTTTTTGTTTCGTTTTTTTTTTCATATTTATTTATTTTAAAATTCAATTTTTTGCCGCCGCCGATACGCGGCGCGCGATATGCAAATGCGTAGGCAATTACGCAGATACCCACGTACGAACGTCTGTTAACCGCCAGTCAGTACTCGGCTCGGCTGCGCTGCGTTGCGCTGTTAGTGTTGAGTCGCGCAAACTCATTAGTAGTTAATGCGGGTGCGCTCGCACTCTCACCCGCTCAACCCTGTGGCTGTGTTGTTTGTGCTTTGGCTTGCATCGACTGCTTGCCGGCTAATTTACAGGCACATCATAAGCGTTAAGCATCAAGAGGCCCACGTAAGCTAATTACTGCCGCAGCTAGGAAGCCGCACGCAGCTCGGAAGCTATAAACTAAAGCAGCCGGCTTAATGACAGCGTTTTCGATTTGTTTATATTTTTTTCTTCTTATTTTCTATTTGTTTTAGTATTTTCTTATTTTGTTTCTTTTTGTTTTTGTTTTGTTTTACTATGTTAAAGGCGTCAAAAAACTTATCAATGTCAATGATTGTTTGTCTGGCTGTTTGGCGCTGCTTCAGTCAATTGTTTTTGTATGCTGCCGTCGTAGCCTTCCTATGCGCTTATATCGCCTATATGCATGTATGGAGTTAGATATTAATATCTTCTAACGTGTATAAATAGTATTAAAATTGCAAATGCGATCACTTAAAGCAAATAAAATGCTAATTTCTTGGAAGTCAGCGTCTGATTTATTGATCTATTTTTATGCCCGAAATGAGTCAAAGTTTATGCGGCGTGCGTTCTCGTGCGGTTAGTGGGATTTTTCTCAACTCTCTTCTAATTATAATTTTCACGGTAATTTATTTATATTTATTTTCGTTATGAGACCACATTGAAACTAAAGCAAATTTCTTTTCTTGAAAAAAACAAAATTAAAACTTTATTTAGACTTTATTGTGACTGTCAATCATTTCTGGTAGCTCATGACAGCGTCAGTCTACAGTCGATTCACTCAACGTTTGTGAAGCAGCAGTTTTAAGTCCAACGATCAACGATCAGTAGGAAATGATGCCGGCGAAATTTCCCGATCCATGACCAAACTTCTGTTGGAGGTTGGGATTATGTAAAGAGAGACCAAGTGTGCTCTTGGTAGCCAGCTAGCATCTTCTTGGCGGCGACCTAAAGTGAGAAGACGAATTCCCCTGCGGCTGTGAAACACATCTACCAATTAAAACTAGCAAAACGTCTCGGTTGGGAGATCCCACTTTTGATTATGAAAACCACAACGTTTTAGGTATTACAATTTAGTGTTGGATTTGTGGTGGGAGAAAGACTCCATGGCTGAGTACTCGCATTCCCTCCGATGAGTGAACGTCTCGACACAATCCGCATCAAAGCAAAACTTTTCAGCATTTCGCTGGAATGTCGGTCAAGAACTGTTCTACTACGCCCAAATATGGTTATCGGTTGTACTAGATTTCCGCTGTCGCTGCATCGAAAACCGTTCAATCAAATCGATAATGTTGTGACGTAACGTCGACTCAGACCACTATCTTGTCGCCGCAAAGATACCCACGCGCCTCCGTGTATCAAGTAACATATGGAAACAAACGGAAGAAAGGTTTGCATCACAACAAACAGCCCAGCGGGTTTCTACTCGATTTGCACTCGTGCTCTCTAAATTCATCAGCAACTCTATAACAGTTGGTTTTCGGCAGTATGAGAAAGTACAATGAGGAATGTCGAACTGAAGTGAAGAGGAAAACCTTGCGATCGACCACAACACGAGTGGCGTGGGATAGATATCGACAGCTGAAGAAGGAAGCAAGATCACGACGCCAACGATTGGAACTTAAGTGTGCTCTACCCACCCCCATAAGCAGGAGGATCTCAAGGTCTACGCCAATTACCGTGGGATAAGGCTGCTTAATATCTCATATAAAGTCCTTTCGAGCATATTGTGTGAAAGACTAAAGCCCTCCATCAAGAAACTGCTTGAACCTTATCAGTGTAGCTCACCCCTGGCAAATCCACCCTTGCCCGGATATTTACAATGCACCAAATCCTTGGAAAAGACTCATGAAAAGAGGTGCGGCACACACCACCTCTTCGTCGATTTTCAGGATTGGGAACGACCTAAGGTTTGGTAATGAAGTAGAACAAGACGAAATATCTCCAGACATCAAACAAACAGCAGCCGTATTTACGGGTTGGCTCCCAAATCACTGTTGACGGTTATAACATCGAGGTCGTAGATAATTTCATCTATCTAGGGACCAACATCAACACCAATAAAAAATCACTCTTACCAAAAAGTGCTACTGTGGACCGAGCAGGCAATTAAGAAGTCGTCTCTCGCCGAACGAAAACCAAACTCTGCATGTCGCTCATAACACCCGTCCTACTATGTGGCGCAGAAGCGTTCAGAATAAGTTCTACACAAGACACAAAGCTTGACAATATCTGTCACTGGAGTTTTTTGTTTGTAGAAAGTCCAGTATTTTTGTATAGGTAGTGTTTAAACAAAGGCAATTAGGAGCTATAGACTATCTCAGACCTGGAAGCTAAAAGAACATTTTAAGCCCTGTGGACAAGAGGTTGGTACTGAATGAAAGGAAACATCTGGTACATAAGTGTACTGCTAAGTACGGTAGAATTGGAAGAGTGTAAAGCGTGAACAGAGCACTCGGGCTCTTACCAACTGGAATGACAAAACTTTCACTGTGTTTGCAGCTCCAGCTTCATAGAGGTTAGTACGCAGGAGTTAAGGAAACTTAGACGATTCATCAAACTAATCAAATTATACGCATAATTTCGTGTCGCAGAGCAGCACAATGAGTCTACTTAATGACTTAGGTGCGACCGTTCGTAGCCTGATCCTCAGTGTGCATACTCTGAGTAATATATCAGTAACCGATGAAAATGTTGAGCAAATGAAGAAAGTTGCGGTGAAGAACGACTCCTGACCATGCACTTTCTCACGAGAAATAGGATGCCTAGTGATCTTTTAATTCTTAGACGTTTCAAATATTTATAAGGTAAGAGGAATTGTATTACCTAAGATATGGATGGATGATTACATACTATTTACTCCTTGCCATAAGGATAACACCTCCTGCCACGCCTATAAAAAATGAGTGGAAATCGTCACATAAAAGTGACTGAGAAAATGGCAAACTTAATAATCTGAACCCTTTGCCTAATTCCTTGGCCTTCACTATAAGTCAAACATGACTGGAGGAGGAGAGATGACCTTAGTGGCGAGTATCTCGAGTTCTGCAAGTCCGATTGGATTACACTAGACGGCGACAGAGAGATGATATTTCGCACTAAAAACGATATGGGAGATGTTTTGATCACTTAACTCAGTAGTGTTTGATCATAAGTCAAACAAGTCAATTTTAGTTTCGTCGATTTCGTGCAGGGAATTTCGTTGCAAAAGATGATCTTCAGTGTGTAGGTGTGTGCAACTAAAATCGACCCATTTCAGCAGTGGATTGTGACTGGTGATGAAAAGTGAATCACCTACAGAACGTCGAATTAAAACGGTCGTCTTCTAAAGACAGCGAGCCGGCGCACAAACAGCAAGCCAGTGTTGACAGCCAGGGAGGATTTTCTTTTGTTTTAGTGTGATTGGCAAAAAATCATTTGCTATGAGCTGCTTCTCTACGGTAAAACTCTTAATACGAACCTGCACAGACGGCAATTGGTTGCTGTGGCCAGACCACACACACATCGATAACGACTCGCTCCGAGACTTTGGTTGGGAGATGCTTTTGCAGCCAACTTATAGTCCGCACCTTGCTTCACACATTTCTGTCTATTGTGAATGATTTGGCTGGTGAAGATTGGTCTCTAAAAAAAACCTGTAAAAATCGTTTGCAGCAATTTTTTGCCAAGGAATAAAAGGGTTTCTATGCGAGAATAGACTCTGATTTTTTTTATAAAACTAGTTACCACTTTCATATAAAAAACAAGTTAACGAAACACACGCACACATGTTCATTCATATGTGCCGCCATAATTTCAATTAGTGGTTTACTCCTAAAATCACGCAATAAATGTCGGATAAAGAAACTCGATTGCTCGATTAGACCTCAGAATTTTAATGGTTGACTAAATGAATTTAAGCATTTGAAAATATTATTTACAAAGCCATCATTTTGTGTCTTTTGTGTTGCTCATTTAACAACCTGGTGAATCGATATTATCATGGTTATACTCTCAAGTGGCGTAACAAAAAATGCTGGACTAAAGTTGGATTATAGCCACAACAGTTTATGGTTAACATACGAGGTGTGTTCAAAAAGTATCGCGAATTTTGAATTTTCGCGGGTTACGCGTAATCGAATTTCGATTTTTTGTGACGTTATGTTGGTACTCATGTCTGTCACTTATGCCGACAAGCTCGGCCATTTTGAATGTTCACTTAATTGTTGACAGCTGCTTTGCTTACACGTGTTTTGGATGATCTTCGATTTTTACCTATTCTAAAAAATGAATCAAAGAACCTGTATCAAATTTTGTGTGAAAGACGAAATTAAGTGCGCGGATGCATTATGAATGTTGACTGTGGCATACTGAGAAGCTACTTAGGACCGAAGCAACGTTTATCGGTGGTACAAAATGTTCTCAGAAGGCCGAGAAGATGTGAACGATGAAGTGCACCAACAACATACGAAAAAATTAATTGCTGGGGCGTGGTGCATCATGAACTTGCCACAGGGTAGAACGGTCAATAAGGAATATTACCTCCAAGTTATGCGCGAAGCAATCCGTCAGAAACGCCCGGATTAGTGGAAGAACAAAAATTGACTTTTGCACTACGATAACGCCCCTGCTCACACATCGTTGCTTGTGCGCGACTTTTTGGCTAAAAACAACACACTAATGATGCCGCAGCCATCGTATTCCCCAGATCTGGCCCCCTGTGACTTTATCTTGTTCCCTAAACTGAAGAGGCCCATGAAAGGACGATTGACGAGATAAAGACGGCATCGAAGGAGGAGCTGAACAAGATAAAAAAATGTTTTTGTGAAGTGCTTCGAAGATTGGAAAACCGTTGGCACAAGTGTATACTATCTCATGGGGACTACTTTGAAGGGGACAAAATCGATATTCATGAATAGATAAATAATTTTTGAAAAAACACAAAACTCGCGATATTTTTTGAGCACACCTCGTACATTACACCATGCCAGAAAATATGTTCAAGTACATAAATATCTAATGAAGTTTCTCAAGAAATAATTTCCAAAAACAATTTAATGTTGACTACCATCTAAAAGGTCATTTTGAGCCTTACCACAAAGATGCCCTCAAAACAGAAGTCAGCTAGGCCGTTAGAGGCTTGAAATATTCTAGAAAATTATTTTACTTTTACTTTTGCGATTTCCAGTTTTTCGAATAAGAACTGTGTCTTCTGAATAAAAAGTTCGAATTCGAATTATCTTCTATACATGTATGTATATATAAAGCTTTGTCTTGCATAGGCTCCAGCCTAGGCCACTGTTCGTAGAGACCTAAAACTTGGACCTGACGTAGTTATCCGATAAGAGAGGACTTTGTTTTTGGGCTTTGTCGATCTGTGACCGATCTATTCGAAAAATTCGAATTTATTTTAGCTTAGCTTTTTGCCTAAATCAACATCGGAAACTCTTTTTCTCCTTGCAAGTGGATTTGGGATCGATTCTTTTGTCCGGTTGTACTTAATATGTGGTACATTTGTTGATGGCTCTTTGCCAAGATAAATATGTGGATAACTTCACTTTGCAGGAAAAGGACAAGGGAGTGATCTACACGAAAAAATCGTAATTTTGGCCCGATTTTCTCAATATATGAAGCATATATGAGTCTTTTGCCCAGATTAACACATTAATAGCTTTCCATTCCGCGCAGAGTAATTGGGTCTGATTCCGATTTACACGCAAAATCGTACTCATGGTTCGACTTGTTTGCTAGCGGGATCATATATAGACGGCTGTTTTATCTGTTTGTGGATGCCATCCCAAAAGAACTTCTCTGGCTTGGAGGTCAAGAAAGAATCGAGCCAATTTCTGATACCCTGTTCTGAAGTGAAGCGTACTCCGGTGAGGGCATTCTGCTTTGATCTGAACAAGTGTCAATCGGAAGATGCTATGTCTGGGCTATAAGGCGGGTGAGGTAGAACTTCCCACCCACAGTTTTCCAAATAGTTTTTAACTGTGCTTGCAACATGTGGCCGAGCGTTGTCATGATGAAAAATTGTTGATTCGTGTCTGGTCGCATATTCTGGTAGTTTTTCCGCGATGGCCTTTTTCAAACGAATCAATTGTTTTCGGTTGAGGTCCCCATTGATCGTCTGACCCAGTTTCAAAAGCACACTCTTGTGGTCCCACCAACTACATAGCACAATATAGGCACCATGAATATTCGGCTTTGCCGTGGATGCCGATGGTTGGCTGGGCTTCACATACGATCTCTTGCGCTTTGGATTATCAAAATGAATCCAATATTCATCCCCAGTGACAATCCGATGCAAAAATGACTTGTTTTGGTGGCGTTGAAGCAACATTTCCGACATGCAGAATCGACGTTCGACGTCTCTTGGCTTTAATTCATAAGGCACTCAATTTCCAAGCTTCTGGATGAATACTAATGATTTTAATCGTCTGGAAATGATTTCTTGATGAGCTCCTAATATTTTTGCACGTTCTTCTTCCGTCTGGCATGCATCTGCGTCGAGCAATGTCTCCAATTCTTCGTCTTGAAATTATTTTGGCTGTTCGGGTCATTCTCCGTCGTCTAAGTCGAAATTGCCGCTAGGCTAATATGAGAACAACTTTTGGCTCTTTTTTGTTATTTTTACCACAAAAGCTAAATTATAAGCTAATAAATTAAATAACTTAAAAACCTCTTAAAAACATCATTAGAACCACCTTAAAATCGCCTGCGGACTAAGTCGCTGGCAAACTCTAGTCTTTAAAAATATAATTCTGTCTCAGAGAGCGGGAGTCAATGGAGCCGTCTCCAACCATATTTTTTTTTTGTTCTTTTTTTTTTTGAATAGTGAAAAAATTACTATTCCGCATCAGACTTCTTTTTCCAGACACCTTTGTTCGAATTGGATCCGAACTTGAGCTGAGTTCAGCACGAGCCAAATATTTTTTTAATTTTTTTCTTTTTTTTTTGGAATAGTGGAAAAATTAGTTTTACATACAAAGGATCTCAGAGTTTAATCAAATTCAGCACATTTCTTATTCAGCCACATAATTTTTCTATAAATTAATTTAATTAAATAAAATAAAGCACAAATTTAGTAAATTTCCACTTTCGCCAGCATCAGTTACCGACTTCTACTCAAGCGCGAGCCGCTATTGGAGTTTTCGGATTTGTTGTCGGATTTGGAGCGACAGCAACCGTCTTAGGATTCAGAACTGCTGCAGGAGCAGGCGCTTTGGGAAACACTGCTGCTGGCTGTGCTGGCGCTTTGGGCACAACACCCGCCGAAGCTACAGGCGCTTTAGCATTAGTTGTTCCAGCAGCTCCACCAGCAGTGGCGGGCGTATTATTCGCCGTTGGATTGCCGATCTTACAGGCATCCTCACAAGTCTTCAAAAAACCAAATTTATTATCATTTCCACGACAACCGCCAAATTTGAAGAGCTCACAGTTGTTCGTTTGTGCATTATAATAATAACGATCGAGATTCATGCGACATGGGCCGGGCTCCTTAGGTTGTAGGCATTTCGGATCTGGAAATGTGGAGAAAATCTATTATTTTCCCATTTGAAATACAGAAAATAGCACGACACACCTTGCACACGTGTCTGTCCACCAGTCGCTGTGGGACCACCTCCTGCTCCAACAACTGCTGGCTGCTTTTGTGTATTTTGCTTGTGCTGCGGTGCGCTTGAAACAACGCTAATCAAAATTATCAGCGCAATTGCACGTAAACACATCGCGTTCACTCGAGCCGCCATACCGTTACAGTGTCAATAGCAAAATGAGCACACAAAATATCGCGCGATGTGCTGGAATCTCGATTCCGCTACTCAGCAGCCACTGAGCTGTGGAAATTATCAGCCAACTCATGGCGTATGTGTGGCATGACGGCGTTAATTAGACAAGCAAAAAAATGAAATTAAATAATTAAATATGAGTTTAAATGAAAAAATGGTCATATTTATTTTTAAGCGCGCTCGCTCATGGTCTCTCAGCCGACAGCTATGAACTTACTAAAATACATTCCTACGAGGGCTGACTTTTAAATTTCGTGGTTTGGCAATGTTAGTATTGCCATCTGGCAACTCTACCATAAGGTTTGGCATTTTTGATGTTAGACCTACGAGTACTCTGAACGTTTTGGTAGAAGAGCGCTATTTGTGTTGCTCACAGTAACTTAAAATAATCATCTCAGCCAAAAAATGGAACTCAATCGCGAACATTTTCGCACACATTCTTGATCTTTCGCTGTGGATTAACTCAGCAGCAGCCCAACGACGAACTTAACTCAATTACTGGCGAAGAGGCTCCATCAAGAAGCAGTGTTAACGATGGTATGATGAATTGAATCGTGAAGGTCGTTCAAAATCAGTTGCTCTTCCGGAAACTATTGATGCCGCGCGCACGCTGATATTGGAAGATCGTCATGTGATCTGTTCTGAGATTGAGAAAACTTTAGGCATTAATGAGACCAGCCTACATTTGATTGGAACAAAAAAAAACTTATTCACGTCATATGGAACCCCCAAAAATGGTCAGTTGCTCAAAATCAAGCTCGTGTCGATGGGTCGAGGGAAAGGTTACAAAAATACGAAACACGTCTATGACATCATGACATCGTGATAGCTGATAAATCAATGTTTTACACGTCCAAAAGTATGGGTGTTTAAAGTTGAACCGACTTCAACAAAAATGTGACGCGCATGACGCACTTTCAAGCTATTCTTTTGGCTGTTTTTTCTGGAAAACCTGGATAACCCACCACCTCTTTAACAAAAGGAGACAAAAGGAGTCTGAAACAACTGTATTTTTGAGCACTCAAAACATAGATTTAATGAGTCATCCATCGTATAGTGTGGACTTGGCACCGAATGACTGCTTATTATTCCCGTACGTAAGAGATATATGGTTATGCATTTCATGGTTTGACATCTGTCAAACTTAACTGACAAACCAAACATATTTTGTTTTAGTTAAAGGTCAAGCATTCATGAGAATGGGTCACATAACGCTGGCGCAACGTGTTGATATCGGTAAAGCCTACTAGGAAAATGGTGATTCAAACGTGTTTTCGTGATTTTTGTGCTTTAAGAAGAGATTATGGTGCACATAACCGTACAACTAATCAAGCAATTGCTAAAATTTTAGGGAAATTTTATGAGACTGGAACCGTTAAAGATATTGTAAGGCCCGTGCATCGTCGTTGTGATCGTTTCATCACAAATATCGCTAGTCTAAGTGAAAGTTTAGCCTAAGATCCTTAAATGTATATTTCTCGACGACATTCTAAAGAGCTGGGAGTTTCTGGCGGCAGATTATCGTATATTTTCCTCTTTGATATACATCTACAACACTATAAATTCCTGTTCACACAACAACTAAATTTTTCGAGCAAAAATTTATTCAGCGACGGACCACATTTCTCACCCGTAGATTACGGGGTATACGTAAATAAGCTCCGAGAATCCTCAAATAATTGAAGAGAGATCATTATACCCAAGAAAACATACCGTCTGGTGAGCTCTTTGGTCCGGTCTTGTGATTAAATCTTATTTCTGTGAATACGACTGCGAGACTGTCATATCTCGGAGTTCAAGGCATTATGATCGTATGGTGACCGACTTTTTTTGGCCTTCAATTGAAGTACAGAACTTGGAAAATGTGCGGTTTCAACAAGACAGTGCCACATGCCATATAACACGATGGATATGTGGATTCATTGCAAGAGAAATTTTCCTGCCACAAATTTCTGCTTATGCGAATAAATCTTAAACTTTTGAGCACTTGAAAGTCAACATTCGCCAATTTATGGCGGAGATACCGCCGAAATGTGTCGAAAAGTGTTCGAAAATTATCTAAGACAGTTCGAAATTTGCAAAAATCCTCCGCTGAGCTTTTGTATGGCGTTTCACATATAATGCCAAGGCTCAGGCGGGACTTTATGAAAAAAATTATTCAAAATTCATATATTTACGCTTATTTTCGAAAGAACAAAAAAATTAACCCTATATCTCAATTAGAATGGCAAAAGTGCTGCAAAAATTGTAGAATATTTTGAAAATCAGAAAGCAATTTTCGACAATTAATATTTGTTTTTTTTTTTCCAAATACCAATATATAAAAAGCAGCCCTCGTACGAGCATAAATGCTTATTTTTCAACTCAAACATATTTCCTCTGCAATGTGGTCGCTTGCAAAGTAAAAAAACAAAAGCTAACAAGCAAATAATCACCGCTCACAAATTATTTTTTGTTTAATAAGTTCAAATGTGTGTAATAATGTGTGCGGCATAGAATAATTTAGCAGTAAAATGAATACAACCGAGAGAAGTGCTAATGAATGATTTTTTTTGTTTTTTTTTCTTTTTTTGTTATATACATTCATACATATATTTTTCTTAATCTCTTTTGCTTTTACTTACTTACTTTATTTACCATTCACATATGTATTTTTGACGTGTCTGTTTGCTTGTATGTATGTTTGTTTGATTCATATTTATTTATTTTATTTTTATTTTATTTATTTCCATCTCTTTTTCCTTTTACAGCTGATGTTTTTCGTTAAAAAAAATAATATATTTACAATTGTTTATTATTGATTTAATACCAAAACAAAAAAAATCAACTTGATGACAATGCATGCTTGTTGTTGTTGCGCGTTAAGGTCGCCAAAAATGGCAATTGCCATGAATTTGAAATTCAATTATGATTTAGTAAAAATTTATTTTATAATAACAAAATTGAATAAGTCACATTTGAAATTGGATTGGCTTAAGTGATGCGCTAAAAACTTGATTTATCGAAATTTTTTAGTTCATGGCGCGTGAGTATGTGTGATTGTTTACGTAGGAATAGTTTAAAAAAAAAATTGACAAATATTTTTTTTATTTATTATTTACCCATTCAATGTGAATATTCGGTCTAGAAAAAGTAATCCATTATTTTTGTTTAAAATTGATGGCTTTATTTACCGCAGTTGGAATTATGTCAAACTTCCATTGATTTGCTTGATCTGGATGGAAGTAATGTCATCTATGCCTCTCTCATAAAATTTTTTTTAATTTATGAACAAACAATTTTCCCAAGCTTCTCATCAGCTACATCATTTCGCATGTACAGCAACAGATTGTAATCTCTTGGTACGCAGCAAGCGCTACAAGATGTATGTAAAAGAACATCCCAACCAAGCTCGCGGAGCTTCTGGCGAGTCACTATCGAGGTGTGCGTGACCACGCGTTGTCCCGATGAAACACAATTCTACTCCTGTTGGTCAAACGTAGCCGCTTCTGGGGAGTTTGCATCCTTCAGACAATCCAATTGCGGTCAGTACTGGTTCGCGTTAAGAATTCGACCGTAGGGAAGTAGCTAGCCAATCCCACCAAACACACAACAAAACTTGTCTGGCCATCAATCTTGGCTTAAGGGCCGTTTCTGCGCCATCCAACTAATCTTTGACCACAAACGTTTTCGTTTGCCATTACAGCAGCGACTCGCAATTGGAAGCTCGGCCTATGGGTGTTTCCCTCCTAACTCCTGTGGCACACATATATCGAGCTGCTTTTTGTATTCAGCCTTTTTGAAGTAGTTCCAACCTGTTTTAAGGACAAAGTGTAGCAAATGGACAACGGAAACAGTGCTCGCATGACGGTCAGACTCGACGATTTCCATTATTTTATTGACATTTTCGACTATCGGCCGCCCACGCCGTCGTACATTTTTTACATCAAAATTACTGAAACTAAATCGATGAAGCTAAACTTGTACGTGATTAACTGTTATTCATTTTCAGCTGTCTGGAAGACAAATTGTAGAATATTCAGATTACTAAAGCCATCCAATGCCAGCATAATTGATAAGTTTTTGCTAGACCAGCTGAAAAGGAATGATAGTTGAGAATGGAGCAAATGACTCTTCGGTACATAAAATACTTTTTCAGAATTAAGTGTTTAGAAGGAGAGAGGAGTGGACGAAGCTTCTTCTTCCTTCTCTCCTCTCTTCTTATCTTTCATCACACGATTATAGTTGATACCACAATAGCACTTAAGTCGTTTCTTGTTTTCCCCATTGATCCTTGGTCTTCTCTACCTTCCCCACCTCTTATTGTGCTTTACCAACGGTTATTAGAACTTCAAGCACAATTCCTCCCGCATCTTCTTTATGTAATGGGGCGCCTGATATGATGGAACTCAAATTCGCTGAATGTTGCTCTTTCCGTAGCAATATTTTCTGGGTATTTGGCGAAATGTAGCACGGAGGATACAAGTTCACCTCTAAGAATTCATACCTTCGGTGTCCCCGATGCTAGAGAAAATAATATGAGCAGCTGTATAGAGAAGGTACAATCTTCTATGAGAGTGTACAGCGGCTGGCGTTTGTCGATGATATTGATATCATAAGCCTTAACAAACTCGCCGTGAGTTCTGTTTTCTCCAGACTGGATAAAATAGATCCGCGTATGAGTCTGGTAGGAAACGAGCGCAAAACGAAATATCTGCAACCATCATACAAACAGTCATCGAATTCGCGACTCGGCTTTCACGACACTTTTGACAGTCTAAACTATGAGGTCGTAGAAAATTTCGTCTTCGTAATATACCAATCAAAATGTCAACCTAGAAATCCAAAGCAGAATCACTCTTACAAACAGATGCTACTTTGAACTGAGCAGGTCCTCTCATCATTCCCAACCTATGCGGAGGCGTGGACGATATCGACATCCATTGAGTCGGCCTTGAGAGTCTTCGAGAGAACAGTTCTGTGAACGAGTTATGGTGTTTCGCGCATTGGCAGCAGCAAATACTACAGACGACAAAATCATTACCCATACACGTTATACT